CTTTCTTAGTAGCATTCCTAGCAATCTATTCAATATAATCTTTCCAATTCATCTCAGCCTAGAATGTTACCCGAGACGGAGCAAACGATTCACTCGCCTTGAGATTAGAATATGCCATGCCGATGTGGATGGCAGAAAAGATATCTCAAATGATTAATAGAGAGTCTTGTTTTGAATGCGTTAAAATTAACATGTCAATCCTTGTCCCAGTTAACAACTGACTGAGTGTAATTTCGAAGATCAGCTGCCAATTTAACCCTATCGAAATGATCATATTTACTTTAGAGGCAGGAGTTAATGGTTGTGTCATCAGCATAAATACCAAGTTGAGAGCTAATGCCATCAGGAAGGTCATTGATGAAAACTATAAGTAAGTAGGTCCAAGGATACGCCTCCGGGGGACAACGGCATTACTACAAGACGATCTCGACAAGTAGCCGTTCAGAAGAACAACTCGTGATTTAATAAGAAAGACTGGTTCAGTAAATGTTATGGGGTCCACTCCTTTTTTATACAAGTGGACTCGACCAGTGTGTACTTGTACTGCTGCCGGTGAATACCCGGGAGATAGAGTGAGTTAGAGAGAGATACTCTGATAAACTGACAGTGATGCAGTGAGAGAATGAGAGAGTGAGGTAACCGCTTTGTAGGAGTCACAGTTGCGAGCACGTAGACTCAGAAGTAAGTCATACTTCGATACTGAATTTCCCAGACTGTGTATATATTATTATTGCTATTAACCGCATTTCTGGATCTACTAACCGTATTAACAATATTGTATTATTAAGACAATACATGTATTTGCTATATTTCATTCCTGCGTTTGTAATTCTTTTGAGACCGGATTTCATCCACGAATCCACAACAGTAAAAAAAAAAATAAATAAAAATAAATGTCGTCTGGAAATAACATAACCTTTCACCTCGTAAAGAAAACCAGAATCCCAAATCTTGTCGGACGCTTTTGAAATGTCCAAAGCACATCAAGCTTCATTATCATTATTCTTATCTAAATCTCTTTTCGCAATAATCCTTAATACATCATTAGTTTACCTAGAAAAGTGAAAGTCCTATTGCTGATCTGAAAGAAGAACATGCGACATGAGATGTTTAATCAATTCAGAGTTTATTCTGGACCCCTAGTAGTTTTGAAAAAGTGGCAGAAGGCTAATAGGTCGATAGTTAGGTGGGTCAGACAGTTCACCCACGTTCCCAAAGGTTGGAATAAGAGAAAAGAATTTCCGAGAAGCAGAAAAGCAAGAGTCAGCGAGTTATTTATTGTACAGTATAGAGGAGCCAGTTCAGGAGTACATGTCTTAATGACTATTACAAGGATACCATCAGGTCCACATACTTTGTAGGAATCGAGATTAGAGATGATAGCAGAAATCATGAAAGGAGGTATATGTATAATATTCAAAAGAGAATAAGTAGAAGATCAGGCAAGTGTACTCTAGAAGTCTCAAGTGTAGATTTTAAAGGGATATACGGGTAAATCATTCTACTTTATCAGCAGAAGATTTCATTGCAGAAAAGTGGAATAGAAAAGTTACCCTTATCAAATGCACTTTTACAGAGTCACAAGTAGTCATGAGAGCCAAATATGTTACAGAATATAGGTGCCTCGTTCTATCAGAAAAAAAGATTTCGGTCCTTCGATGACATGTTTCCGTTTATTAAATAAAGCCGCAAATAGGTATCTGCTGTGGCCGGAACTTGTCACATTGATACTCTGAAAAAGTTATCCATGTGGGCTTTAACAGCTAAACAGGCCAGTGTGAAGCATGGTGTCCATTGATATTTCAATGGTTATTTCCGAGAAGGAACAAAATTAATCGATGCCCTGTTTGACCGAAGAATAAACCTTACCAGCACAGTTCTCAATAGTATGATCAAGAATATCAATACAAAGGGCGTCTTTGAAGAACCTCAGGAAGTGAATTCATCTCAGCATGTTGGTAACGGAAGGATGTCTTGTGAATAGGAGGCTCCTTTCTAACAGAAGATTGACACGAAATATCTACAGATACTACTGGATGATCCCAATTGCCAAGAGGACAGTGTTGCGTAGCTCGACAACGTTTAAGAGTTTTTGGTCGAATCAGACACTTACAAAGATAACGAATAGGAGATAGAGTCGTGTAGTTTCCGGATCTCTAGGCCATATAAAGCAGCAGGACTCTATTTTGGTTTAATCTGACTTTTGCAAAGATTTCGAATTTCAGAAGGAGTCAAGTACATTCCTGATATTCAGCTCAGATTAGGCAACCATATTCCATTTTTGGTCGAATCGGACACTTGCAAAGATAACGAATGGCAGAAGGAATATATTACGAAGAGTGATAGAACAAATTAGTTAACGAAGCATGTTCATCAAATTTATTAGGGAAACATGTAGGAAAATCGGCGATTTAAGTACGAGAATGAGTGACGGAAAAAATAGAAACTTTGAATACCGGGAACATCAGTAACATTAGAATGTTTAAGCCATTTGTGATACGCATTAAATATCATCACACACACAAAGGAACGCGATTGTGAACGATTTCTATACTCTCAATAATTTTGTCTAATATATTGCAATCCTGAGAGAAATGAGAGCTATACTGGATAAAGAGAAACTAACAGAGTGCAATAACGAAAGTCGAAAGAACATGAAAGAATCCTCTGGAAACTTGAATTCATTTGCTATTGGAAGCATATCCTGGATCTAAACATTAAGGCATGCACATGTATGCTTGGATCATTGGAAATGGCAGAATAATTTAAATTAGTTTCTGAGATTATGAAGATATCTAGAGACCGTTTTCAAGAGAAAATATTCTACACTGCTGAAACTGGAGCAGATACCTCGAATATTGGAGGAAAAAAGTTTGACGTGGATTGGTAATTTTTTGTTTTCTGGTTTTCTGGTATTTCTTTTCATTGCTTCATGAGGAGACATGTTGCGAGGAAAAAAGGAGAAGACGTCCACAATAATTAACATTATCTGTCGTCAATGGCAGTGTAAACCCACCAGAATGTGAATAAGAATAAAGCATAGTGATCTCATGTTTGCCCACCGAAAATACATACAGGGAGACCTACCAATATGCGACAAATACCCCGATATTACGCATCTGTTTATTAGAGCAGCATATCTGCGATACCAGAGTTTGGGATTCTGAATACATGTCAGATGCAGCAACCAGAGAATTGCCAACTCGGTACCCTCATAATAAAAATTTGCAGCTACTGATTAGTCTGATCACAATATAGTTAAATGATTCTGAACATAGAAAGAAACAGCGAGCAATATCCCAAACAGGGAATAAGGTTTAATCCCTTACTCCTGCTTATTAAAGATGGAAGATCGCTACTCGGACGATAGTCGTGCCTATGAATTCCTATTAACCTAGACACAGTTTAGGAGGCTAGAATATTTTATTGAAATACCAAGAAAATGAAGGTTGCCGTCTAAGGGTGAAGGCCACGTCCATGCGATAGAGGGAATTACTGAATAATTAATATCACTCTGGAAGAATTAATAATACGCATCGGAGTGAGGGTGGCAAGATTCGGAGTGAGATTAACTTAAGATATATGAGTTAGGGTACGGTTAGTCAGAATGCTGATAGTCCGATTATCACCGATTAGAATAGCCTTAAATCATAGGGCTTTTTTGCATGAAGGGAAATAAAACGATACCACATATATTTATTTCGATAGTGGATCAAATACCTAGTAAGCACACGGCAGAATCCAGTACCTGGTCTCCTAACAGAGCGGAGATTTTGGTGAATATTGGCGACATTAAGAATGACCATACTTAAAGGCGCAACATCTACTCCTGGGATAACCGGGGAATTCTAGTAGTTAGGGAACGAAATAGACAATTCGAATCAAAAGTACTGATTAGATCAAGAAAAAGCTTCTAAGTTTCTATGTTTCTTTTATTAATTACTTTTCTTCAAGGAAGGTGCAGAATTTGACATCATTTCCTATTACCTTCCAATATGTACTAAACTTAAATCCATCCTGCAATATCGGCAGTCAACAAAAATATAAGTGCATTTGCTTAATAAATTCATTAAATGCAGATGCTGGACAAGGAAGTAATTAGTGCTTGTAGCAGCAGCAGCAGTAGTAGTAGTAGTAGTAGTAGTAGAAATAATTATTATACTCTTATTTCTGTAAAGTCCAATTCTTTATCAAGTATTATCCATGATCCTGATTAAAATAATTTTGCAAATATACTCGATTTGTTTGTAAAAATTTTATAAGGCAAAGCAAAAAATTAATAGTACAAGAAATTCACAAACTCAGAACTGGGGTTGAAATACAGGAGAGTGTTCATAACAGCGAATGTAGTGTTCTGACTGCAAAACAATGACAGACTGGGACTCAGTCAGATGAAACCGAGAACCAGCCGATTTTATTGGCTTGACAAAAAAAAAAAAAAAAAATCAGGATAACTTTTCGTGCTTCTGCCTATAATTTAAAGTATTTTGCAGTAATTACCCTCAAAAATTAGACTTTTAGATTAACATATATGCTTCGCTTCGAATTCCATTGCAATCTTTATCGTTATTTCTTTGTTACCTTGGAGAAAGATCTAGTAATTAATGCATTAGGTATCATTTCATATATACTATGGCTTTAAATATCCATCATATTTGATATTATTCTTGTTCAATTCTGCAACAGTTCAACAAGGCAATCATAGCCATTTTTTAAATATATATCACTGTTCTTTCAGTCACTGACACAAATCCACATTGACAACAGCTATACACGTAACCTTCTTCAACTTCCAAAGACTTGCGGGTTCAAACTTAGGTCATACGTGATTAGTTTTTCTTCTCTTTTGCTCTATCCCAGTCACAAAAGGGCAAGACGGATCAATGATTAATCGTATGTTTTCTTTATTTTCTCTCCCATAAATATGCCCGGATGGTTATGATCTAGTTTCTTATCTTTTGATATTGACAAATCACACAAATCTAGAATATCTGTGACTCATGGATTTCCGCAGGCTTGCAGTTGTCCCTTTACTTTTCTCACGTAAATGCCCACTTTTCGCACAACTTCCAATAAATTAGTTTGCTAAGGTGACCAAGTTTCGACCTTTCGTACTAATTCTCAGCTAAACATTGGTAATTATAATACGTGCTATAGTTTCATCTAATTCCCTACATATTCAGAAATGTAGTGATATATATATATATATATATATATATATATATATATATATATAGTTCATGAAAAACTAGTTAATCCGTATGGGTAGACGCAAGGAGGATGATATCCGGAGAGCTCAATGATTTTTCATTTCAACCTTTGGAAGTAAAGTCTGATGATCCAGAGCCCTTTAAAAGGGCTGTTTTGAAATGATTTATTACATGAAACCTTAAAATTGGTCTGTTTTTATTCAAACATATATATATATATATATATATATATATATATATATATATATATATATATCTTGAAAACGTTCTTTCTGTACTAGTTTGATAATGAGTTGATATCGTATTGCTTTCAGTTTTTGTTGCATTCCGTGCACAGGGAATAAATATTTAAGACGAGGTGAATAATAGAAGCAAGGTTTATTGTATACAACCAGCACAATATGAAATACGATACAGTTATGCACACAGGTCAATCTAGTAGTGAGTGCCATTAATTGGAAGGTCGGAAGTGCTTGCGTTTTCTCTCCCTCACTCTTCCTCGAATGTTTCGTAGAGAGTTGACTTTATAGGTACTTACTATCTATAGTGCAATCATTCATGGGGATGACTGGTTATTCCATTACATCAGTTTCTTTCTAAAAAAATCTTTTAAAACACTTCCTTCATCTTTACCTCAGCATCTTTCTTTTGTTTTCTCAAAGTCTCCATGCAATGCTTTCATTTCTCTTGCTAACCAATGTTCTTAAATTCCTTCTGAATTTACTTCACCTATAACCCATTGAAAAGTCTAAGTAATTCAATAGGGATTTCTATTTTTGATGATGTTGTAATCATTGTCACTGTAAATGTTGTTTATTTATATTTTTACAGCACCTTGTGTGAATATTTTAAACGGTTTTAATAATTTTGTTTCGTGAAAGATAGTTGCTGGTCATTCATTAATGTTTTGATACTCACTTCATTCATTGACTTTTGAAAGCTATTCTCTTCATCAAATTCTTTGTAATCTTTCCTTTATCATTCATAAAGTCAAATTGCCTTTATCTTCTTCTTCTTCTTCTTCTGCTGCTGCTGCTGTTTTTTCTTCTGCTCTTTCATCCTTCTTTTTGCTTTATCTTCATCTTCTTCACTTTCATTTCTTTTATATTATATATTATTTTTCTTCCACCGCTTCATACTACTAGTTCTTTTTTCTTTTATGTCGTTTTGATGATAGTTTCTTTCTCTTGAACCACCCCATTCCCTTCTTCTTCTTCTTCTTCTTCTTCTTCTTCTTCTTCTTCTTCTTCTTCTTCTTCTTCTATTCACTTTTTTATAACTTAGCTTATTGCTCTTCCACTTCTTCTTTTCTACCATTGTATAATCATTATTCTTTCATTATATTTCCATCTCCAGTCAAACATTCTTATTTTCATTTACTTTGATATCTGTTCTTTTTTTGAACTTCTTTTAATCTTTTACTCGTTTATCTTATACAATTCCTTTTTTTTTATTAATTTCTTCAGTTTTCTTCGAATCAACCCTATTCCCTTTTACTCGTCGTCTTCTTGTTCGCGTTATTATTATTATTATTATTATTATTATTATTCAAATTTCATCCACTGCCTTTTCCCACTCCAAACACCAGTCATCCCTAATCTATAAAAAACCACACCCCATCCAAACGTCCCCAGAAGTCGATCATTTGTTCCAGTCAACCACCCATTATTTCTCTCCCTTTATACTCAAGGAGTCATTTTGACGTATGGCTGAGGACCCTGAATAAATGACCGACACCGTCAGCACACAACCCCAGTCCCACAGTGACCCTGTCTTTAATTCAACATTCCATATCTTTTACAACTCACTACCTCTCCTCATACTTAATCCCAATTTCTAGGAATTTAGAATGTCGAAACTCTTTACCCTCATGTCACACTACACTTTATGATGGTGTTTTTGTTTTCTTTTATATTCATTTTAGCCATTTTCTTATTATTTATTTATTCCATCTTTTTCTATTTCCTCATTTTTTATTCTTTCTTTTATATCAATGTCTTTTCTTCTTCCTTTTCTTTTTGCGTCTGTTTCTTTCTTTCTTTTGAAATCACTTTTCTTCCTCGTCTTCGTAATTTCTTACTTTCTGTTCACTTTCTTTTGTTTTTCTTTCTTTCTTTCTTTCTTTCTTTCTTTCCGTTGTCTTTATGCCACTTTTTCTTCCTTTTCTTCTGAATATTCTTTTTTTTTCTTGGTTGTCTTTAGCTAATATTTGTTTTCAATCTTCTGAATGGATTTGTTTGTTCTTCTTTCTTTCTTTCTTTCTTTCTTTCTTTCTTTCTTTCTTCCTTCCTTCCTTCCTTCCTTCCTTACTTCTTTATTTCTTTTGCCTTTAAGTCACTTTTCTCTCTATTCCTTTACATCTGACTTTCTTTCTTTTGTTCACTTGTACAATTTAGCGACATACAATTTTCTTAAACATTTGTCCGATTTTGGGCGTAAAAACAAATTTTTATCAAGAAATTAGGATGTAGGGTGTTTTTTGGACTACTTCTCAGTGATCCAGTGTATTCCAGCATTTATATCTCAGGGGACTAGTTTATTCATCTATGCACCGCGTCCTTTAAAGACATGGGCGACCGCGTCTCTCCAAAACATTCTATCCATTTTGGCCCTTAACAATTATTCTACTTTTGCTTAGGATCCGTCCTTTTCCACCATCCATTGACAAAATCTCGTCAGGTAAGTAGCCCCCTGCCTTCTCTTGTCTCTATTGCTTTTACTATGCCCTGTGACGGTTAAGTTTTCGAAGCCTTATTTCTCATTATATATCTAAGAATTTCCAGTGATCTCTGTTGGGTTTTGTGCATAATTGTTCTTCTTGTTGCAGATTTAGTTAAGACGTCCTCGCTGCTGGCTCGCTCCGTCCATGGAATGCTCAGTATCCTTCTGTAGAATCAAATATATTTTGCTTCCAGTTTTCTTCTCGTACGCGGAGAATGTTCATCATTCAGTTTCCTATAAGAAGACAGATATTACAAGAAATGTTTAGTTTGTTTCTAACGAAAACTTTTGTTTATCACCGCATTTCTTTGTTTTGGAATGCCTCTACCTTTAGTCTAATAACTCTTAGGATTCAGATCTTATAGTAAATGCTTTTCCAGATATTTATTTAATTATTTCGCATCAAGCAAGGCAATAAAACCAGTAAGACGACAATTATTGAGCGTGGAAGAATATATGTAAAAGAAAACATTATTAAGGAGACAGAAAAACAAAAGAATATCAATTAAGAAAACAGATGATAACCATTGGCTTTGTATTTAAATTTGTACAGATCAAAGTTGATTGGAAAGCAGGAAGCTGCAAGTGATTTCCAAAAGTGCGAGTGAAGATATTGATAGCATAGAATTTACAGTTATATCTAGCTATTTTAAATGTAAGATATTGGTCCGTTGCCATTAATCTAATAGTACGCTTAAAATTAATAAGGTTTTGATATCAAACAGGAACGCTCGTCATAACAATTATCATGAAAATATTGTAGAAAAAGCACAAGGCACACACCAAATGTGGCAGTAATATTCAATACATGGACTTTAAAATATGTAATATACAGGGTGCGATGGTTAAATTTTTAAAAGTTATTTAAAATTTCACGCATGCGTGTTGTTTGTTTTTGATCTTCTCAACGGTAAATTATAGTAGGGACATTTCGGAATCGCCTATGACAAAAAGATAATTCACTCCGCCAGAAATTTGGAAACGGCATGCTGTACTGATTGTTTATTTTAAACAATTTATTTGTTTTCGTCTACCGGCCTGAATATTCAAAAATATTATTAAAGAATTCGAACATGCTTACCCCACTGCAGGAAAAAATCATCGTTAGATCAAACGTGATCGAGACCGACTCAAACACAGAGTGCATCGCCGGTAAAGTAAGGGTATCCAATAAAAAACAACACTTATATATATATATATATATATATATATATATATATATATATATATATATATATATATATACTAGCAGCATGGCCCGGTGTTGCCCGTGCTTGATTCAAAAATCGTACGACTCATACAGCAATCGCTATTACTTTACTTAAAATATTTTTGCCCTTCCTTGCCTTTAAAGGAGTGCCCTTTGCCGTGTTGATGTTGATACATGCCTTACTTCTTGCCTATCCCACACTGCGAATTTTTTCTAAGCTTTATACTAAACATTAAATCTGTTACGAAAAAAGAACTAAACAAAATGAACGCAAAACAATCAGCTTTAAAAAAGTCTCGTAACTGGAAAAACCGAATGAAAAAAGAATGTTAACAACAAATACTTTTTCACACCGAAACTAGTTCTGCAGAATCAGAATCAACGTTGAGTTTAAGCAAGCGAATGAGCCAATTGGAGTAAAGTGCCATGCAGATTTAAATATTTTCCACTTGTGACGAATGCAGCTATCGATTTTTTTTTGCATGCTAGCATGCTAGTTAACATTTCTGTCAGTCAGCTGTTGGCTCTCCCGCTGGCCAGTAGAAACTTCCTGCCTATTCGTGGCAGCCAGCTATAGGCTCTCATTCTGACCAGTACAAAATGGCCGCAACCTATATGAAAACTGCGGTAGAAGCATGAAAATATCGATTATTTCCACTATCGATGGGAGTTGGGAAATGAACAGTCGGTTTTGGTCTTCCCGCTAAGTTGGAGCATGTGCATGTAAATTTTGGTGCAAATCCGTCGAAAATTGCAGCCGTGCATTCGTTACACACACACACACACACACACACACACACACACACACACACACACACATCCTGCCTTTTATATATATATATTTATATATATATGTATATTATATATATATGTATATGTATGTAGATTATATATATATATATATATATATATATATATATATATATAGATAGATAGATAGATAGATATTTGGATATATAAGCGTAATTTTTTATATCTGTGTGCGTGTCTGCGTCTGTGTGTATATATATATATATATATATATATGTATATGTCTGCGTGTGTGTGGTGTGGTTGGTGTGTGTGTGTCTGTCAGAATATATATATATATATATATATATATATATATATATATATATATATATATATATATATAGTCATTTTCTTCTTGATATTTGAAATTGTTGATCTATATTTTTTATTATTTTATCTTTTTCACTTTTTTTTTCCTTTTTATTTTTGTTTGGTTTCTTTTTTATTCCTTTTTCACAGACATTTTGATTTTATTTTCTCGCTTTCTTTTTCGTAACTTAATCTCTCCTGCTTTTTTTTTGTTATTGTTTTTTTTGGGGGTTTTTTCTTGACTGTTTTTTCAGTAAAATCCGGTAGATTCGTTGTCTTTTTTTAACATACGAATCTGCTCCTGGTAATCAGAGAAAATGTCTGCTAATGTGTACGTGTCGAATGAATGGCAAATGAAACGTCAATTTCAACATCAATCTCATTAATCGGCAATGCAACGACATGAAGTAGAAATGATGCCGTACTGAATAAGATGCAGCGGTTAAATTCATACGTGATATGAAAAGCACTGCAAATAATAATAATAATAATAATAATAATAATAATAATGATGATGATGATGATTACTAGCTAGCAAAATGCACTTTGTTGGAAATATCCCGTTTGATACGCCATGCTTCAGAGCTCTCAGACACTGAGCAGCCATGGGAGTTCGAGAAAAATTGAACGAGGAAGTATGCACTCTTTAAAATGGAAAAAAAAAACATGGATGGTCTGGGATGCTTTCTATGGCCGAACATCTAAAAAAAAACACGCCTGATCAATCGGTGGTTTTCTTCTACAGAGGAGGCGTAGTTTAGAACCCTGGCGAAGAACACATTTTCTTCTATATATAAAATTCTGTGACTTCCATTAGTCCGTCCGTCAAAACCTCTAAATTAGCCATATATTGACCAATCAAACCTTAATTTTTGGCGGAAGTGCAGACCTTTAACGGGAAGGTACAAAGTACAGCCGATTTTACTATAGTGCGTAGCTTAGTGCAAGACATTTCTGCTCATTTTTTGGAAAAACTAAAAGTTTTATTATTTATTTTATTATTTTTCCCACTATTCTAAAAAAAAAAATAATGATTAAAATAACAAATACGTATTTAATAAAAATGCAATATTCTTATGTTCGTATCTTTTCCTTAAATTTTTATATATACAAGTATCCAGTTTCCAGTTCGCCCTGCGTTTGTGAGAATGATAAACAAATCCCAAGGTCAAACTCATCAAAAAGGTGCAATTTGTCTCCAGAAATAAATATTTACGCACGTCAATTTGTATGTTGCGTGCTCAAGAGTAAGAACTACTAAGAATTTCTTATGCGCTGGTAAAAAGGAAAAAGGGAAAAAATGGGTTATTTACCACATGATCCTATAAAATTAAATTAAATTAAAGAAATAATTAAACCGCGAAGTAGATTTTTATTTTCAAATTATTTTTCCAAAGATATCAGCTTATTAAAATTTCATCAACTGGTCTGTGAAATTGTCTTAAACGTAGAGTCTCTAAATCTGGACATGATATGTTAGCGATAATTTCAACAATACTAAGTACTGTAAGGATTTTAGACAATTCTAGTTATTAAAATTTTTAGAGAGTGACCACCGAGAGACATAATGCAGACTGTTAAAAAGTAGTAAAAACGCGGCATCTGTTTCAGACATGGACATCCGTTAAAAAGTTATTGGAGTAATAACAATTTCCGATCAAAAGTAAATCTAAACTGTCGATGACCAATACAGTGCATCGATTTCACTGCTCAGTATAAGACTGCGTTTCTTGTCATTAATCAATAACTTGTATTGGACATACAACCACCTCCTTGAGTAGGCGTCCCACATGTCATTTGGCAGGGCAGAGCTGTATAAAACATTTACCAACCCTTAATTTTCAAGAACCCTTAAGGAAGATATTATCGATATTAATTATTAGTAAATCAAATGCTAAAAAATATCGTTATAAGAAAGGCCTATTACATCAAAGATCTCTTCCCCACCAATAACCTCACCTTGTTTAACGATGGTAAGGCAATGCTGAAAGTCTTGAAAGTAAAAAGTTGCCCACACGAATTACAGTCATGCCCAACACACGACGGCTCTGAATCGCTGCTACTATAATTCACGGACAATACATTCAAAGATTCTAAACATGAAAATAAGCTAACTACACAAAAAAATTATCCCACTTGAAAATGGTTAAAAGAGTTATCCGAAAACGCTTGGGAGAATCGGCGATAAAATTTTTTGTCCGCCATATTTAACTAAAGTTATTTAAAGAAAGGTTGCTTCCATGCAAAAAAAAAAAAAAAAAAAAAAAGGCTAAAAATAATGGAATAAAAAAAACAACACTT